TCGATATTGCACGACACGGGTCGCGAAGCGCGTTCGAGGCTAAACCGCTTTCGAACCACTTACGCTCTGGTCTTGGCTCATAATCACGTGCTGAGGCTTCCGCCCTGCCGAGCCTCCTTTTATGAAGTGATCTGTCCATCCGCCGGGATTGCCCTACTGCTCACTCACTACTGCGTCATCGTGGCTGCTGGAAATTCCCCCAAGGCGAGAGGCATTTTGCTGCTTTCCCATGCTACTGGATGTTCTCGCTTCGAGAGAGCAAAAGTCCAGTGCTGCTTTGATGTTTGCCCGAGTTCCAACCCTTTCCAGACGACCTGCAGATGCACAACCCGGTTCTTTCCCTCTCCTTGGTCGCTGAGCAGCGGTATGGCCCCTGTTAGGGATGTGCACTAAAGACATTCGAATTCTCACAGACAGACTACTGGCTCTTGATCTCACCCAATCTTCCATGCATGCGCAATCAAGTTCATTCTCAACCTGTCGTATCACGTGAGGCGCCGCGCCCTGCTTATGACGAATGACGAACACTGGCGGGTACCTACGAGTAGGCAGCAAGTCCGCCCCCGTGTCCGGCTCAGCCTCGTGGCCCTACGAGTACTTGGATATCCTAGTATCCGCGCCAGCGTATTCGCCACACAGCACTGGCCTATCCGAATGTTCCCCTGACATCGCAACAAAGGGAACGAGTACGAGTACCCAAATTCTCCTGCAGCAATAGCCAACCCATTCGTAATGTCCGTCCCTCAGGGTATGAGCACCATGGCACCCTGGCGTTCCTTTCTTACCACTTTACATGTCCAGCTTTCTATCCTGGTGGGGGTTTGTGCCTGTTACCGCCACCGTTACACTCGACGTGCAGACCTTTCTCAGCCGTCTTTCCCGAGTGAACCGCATGTGACCGTCAACGCCCACATGTTATGGGCTTCCCTGGTGAAGCACAGTGGAGCCTGGCATGTGGCGACGTGGAACCGATTACTGGGTCCTCACTAGTACAACGTGGCAGCAAGGGCAACCTCAGGCTCGTGGACCGTAGCCGACGGAGAAAAGTCTGTTCTCTGTGGAGTGCATGGCACCACGATGCAATGGAACATAGGATCCAAGGCCAGGGATCCAGAAAAAAAAAAGTGAATATGCTCAGAGTCTCCTGGTTGACAGGGCCAGGACTCGCCAGGAAAGGGAGGTCGTGTGGCCCTCCAGATCGCCTTTCCCAGACTGCAAAGGAGATCTAGTCGAAAGGAAGGGAACATTTTTCCGTTCATTGCAACGATCTGATACGCTGTTGGTTGTGACCTGGCTGGTTACAGAAAATAGATACCGCAGAATATGTAACATGGAAATAAACCGAAAATGATAAGCCCAAGGGCGTTGGTTGCCAGCAACCTTGCTCCCGTCCCCCTTGCACGCGTCATTGCGTGAGAAAAGCTTCGAACCCGACTGAAATGTCAGTCTACCAACCGGCCAAAATCATCAAGGTAACTATGCACCTAGTTAGTCGAAGACTGTCGTGGAAAGGGGATCGCAAGGTATCCAGTACCTCTGTAGGTAAGCAGATAAGCGAAAGCCGGGTATCTGCGAGGCTCGCCGCAAGTGGCGTATAGCCCTGTGGAAATATTGCTCGTTCTGGTGGGAATATGAGACGTTTCCAAGACTCATGTTGGCTTCAGCCGCCTGTATATGGTGAAGTCATGGTTAGCCCTGTGCCGTTCAGGTTCAAATTGAGATGTGGAGGGAAGTGGATATATGGACCAAGGAGGAAATCGTTCTGACCTCTGAGAGTAGTTCTCCGGTGGGTTCTCCATCTCTTTCGGCCACGTTTACAGCCCTAGAGAAATAGTCGACCGCCGGAATCAGCATCCCGCGTGCTTCCACATAATCGGCCGTGTGTGCTCTGGCGTCGGCTTCGGCAGTTGCTCGTTCTGCATCCCTAGACTCCTCGGCCGTCGAATACGACAGTCTCTCGCTTAGACTCTGAGGTCGACCACTGCTGCCACTGGAGGAGCTGCCTTCGGTGCGGTGGATTCGTGCGAGGACGCTTTGAGATCGAGCTAGCCACGCTTGACCCAGCCCTGAAATTATGTAAGTAGGTGTATTGGAGAAGGGAAGGATTGGTAAGCTGTGTGACTTTGACTAACCCCTGAGCGCAGAGAGATCCTCGGTGTTTCTCTGGAGTAGCAACAACCACTGGTTCATGCACCACTCCGCGATATCGGTGACACCAACACCTTCCGCATCATGATAAGCCAGACTTTGTAACGTCGCGATGACGAATGTACGGTCGGTATTTCTGTTAGGCATCTGCACGAACCCCGTCGCGTCCAGCGTGGCGATGGCCGTACGCGCAATGTGTAGGCGTTGTTCCCATGATTCTGGAGCAGAAGGATTTGTATCGGCGATGCGCCTGACTTCCCGGATGGCCCCTTCGATTTGCGCTTCCTCGATCAGGTTGAGACCATCCAGCCTGGGCCCTTGGTGCGACATGCTCCAATATTTGAAAGGGACAATGGGTGAGAGATGATCAAGTTGGTTAGACAAGGTCTATACTGCCCGTTTCGAAGATGCAGCGACGAGTAGATACAACAAATACTGCCACACTCGACATATCAAATCCTTCCAAACGAAGGTATGAGAAGGAGATTTCCCAAGAGTCCTGGATTGTGAGATATTGAAATAGACTTCAGCCACAGCACCTCGTGGCTACTATATACCTAGAGGGCAGCTGCGATGAGAAGTGGTCGTCTTGACTGATTCGCAGGCGACAGGGTCAAATGGAGACAGAAAGTGCGTGACAGGCAGACGAATCACAAGAGTCCTTGCCAATCCTTAGACAATACTTACATGTGCAGAGAGGGCTCGTTGATGAGTTTCGAGCCACCGTCAGGCTGTAATAACACTTCTATAGGACCACGAGATCAAACCTTACAAGTTGGCGCGTGGCAAATGCGCTCTTCCAACCAAGGCCCCAGGGGCAACGTCCGGCTGCTGGAGATATATGGCCAAAGACCTAGAGCTGACGAGGGTGTGGGAACGAGACGGCCCATTAGGACGATCGTCAAAGAGATCCAGAAAGAGATAAGTGTCCCCTCTGGAAGGGAAAAAGAGGCTTGGACTTACCTGCAGCCACAATACGACATTCTCTAAAAGACTTTGCCTAACATCTGTGGCAAAGAAGATGGCGTTTGGGACATGGGCCTAGCGATCAAAGCATGGGAAAAGGGTGGTCGATTACAGTATCACCTCAAAATGCCCTACTGCTCTTTTGAGATCTCTGAGCGGCGCAACAGGGGATAGCATGGCTCTCGGGGCTGTCGAGAGGTCCCCGTAGTATCGCCGCTACCCTTGAAGATGTCGTTCCAACTGCCAAGGGTCGCAAGTCGGGACCGAACAGAGAGGAAACATAGCACAGGAATGGAAAGGGCTCGGTGGGGGCCGGCTGACTGGATTCGAAAAAGGCACCAGGGGTACTGCGAGGGCGTGGATGTAGATCGATCGAAGACATCCATGACGAATAGCGCCAGTATGAGGCCTTTTGTCCCTTTCTTCTCGCCCGATATGATGGGCATTTGCGTGCGATGGGAATCTGAACGACGTTGGAAGAACTCAGATCTGACTAAACGAGGTGGGAGGTAAGGGACTATTTCGGTGGAAATAGGAAATGCTGATGTGCCAAGGCATTTGCGGAAGCGAGGGGAAGGGAATCGCAATGAGCCAATATCGCAAATCTCCATGATGCTTTACCAAGTACGAGGTACACAGTTATTAATATTACGTCGCCCGCGACCCGCCTAGCGTACCGCGTGAGAAAAAATTTCCCGAAATCCGAGATATCTAAACAGCGAGGAATGTCGAGAGCTGGAAAAAGGAGGAGAAAGGAGCAAAAAAAAAACGCAGCGCAGCGATGGCGTCGATGAGGGCTACACTTTTCGTACAAGCACAGAGAATAACTCCATCAGAAGGCCATGCCTAACTCTTAAGGACAAGATCGGGAAATAACGCAACAGGAGCCCTGACTGGGCCAACTCGATTTGGTCTGTAGGGCTTTAACTGGACTGGCGTCGGTGCCGGGTCGACCTTACATCCCGCTGCCTGTGGCTCAGACTCTGCTGTCTACCCAACCAGAAGCCAACCAGCCCATGGGGTCGGGCTCGCGGTCACTCTCTCACGCAAGGCACGGCATATGGCAAGGGCCAGTGAACCAGTCAGAGAAGAGTAACGGCCCAGAACAAGAGCGAAGAAGGGCTCCCTCGTGCCCTCATCAGCCACACTTCCGGCCTCTTCAGTGATCCGAGTTCGCTCTTCCACCGAACCCCAGCGGTTGTATTCCCTTCCGAGGGATTCTAGCGAGAGCTCTGCAGCAATTACTAAACACCCTGCAGTGATCAACGCAGGGCAACAACGGAGGATTATGTAGCACTTTGTTCCGAGTCCGATATGGTCAAGACTGCCCACAGTTTTTATATCATCAACCACAACCCGTCTCGAAACCCTCATGTGTCCAGTGCCATCACAAATTGGCAACCACCACTTCACAAAAGAGATTATGTGTAAACCTTCTGGTTTCGCGCCATCTTGGTCTTTGTTTCTGTTTCGACCGTCTCCATTACCCACCCACCGCAGTCACAGCTATCCGCTGAGCAAGCCACCCCTGAGGCCACCTCCGAGGCCACCTTCTCGCATCGCCCTCTCCCATTCGGCGCAAACCAGCTTGGAAACTTCGTGCAAATGCCCGAAACGCACAATATGTCCAACCGAAATATGACCTTCCTGCCTCGGTAAATGACCTGATCCTTTTTTTGGTTGTTCGAAAACGCCCGATATTTCTCCCGCGAAAGAAAAGCCAGCCACACCTGGCGTATGGCCGAGAACCATCCCCTGAACTCCCTGCATGTGCTTCATGAAATTATTGTCGTCAATATTGAAACAAGGTAAGTCTCGATTCGAAATCACACAGGCCCCGGACTAGGGGAAGCCGACGTGCAGCGGACGAGACCGCGAGGGGTGGGTTATATCGAAGTGATGCGCGTATCAGATCTGGCCGGAGGGCGATGTTTGATTACCATCTGCAGTTCCCGCAGCATGTTGGTCGTATTTTCGGCGTGCTCCTGAAAGGTGGCCCGCTTCCTCCGGTCCTCTTGAAGTTTGTTGAGCTTCTCTTCACGGCTCATTGGCGCCCAAGACATCCTCTTGCGTGGCAAGGCCACCGCTTCGAACACCTCTTCATCCAATCCTACACCCCCATCAGATGAGCTCCGTTCGTCGCCACTCAGCAGCTTTAGTGCTTCTGCAGGTCCTCCATCCACCACCGTCACTCCACCCAGACTGCTCGGAGAGGGCGACGCTGGCGATCGCATGCCGCTGGACGATATGGAGAAACGATTGTCACGTTCGGTCCCAACGTTGAGGAACATGGTGTTTCGCCCCTTTTCCCACTCGACTAGGGCGTTTCGAATCTCAGCCCCTAGCTGATCGTAATGCCCAGTGATGGCCATGCTGAGGGCGGAGTCATCTTTCGACTTGAGAGAGTTTATCTCTTCCCTAAGTAGGTGGACTTTGGCGTTCAGGGACCGTATAGCGTTGGCCACCGCTTCAAATCGGCGTAATTGAGCCTTGGTGTGTCGTTTTTGGGGCGTAGTGGCGTCTATGGTCCGTTCAGCTGCTGTTTCGGCGTCTTCCGACACCGTGTCCTGGCCGTCTTCGCCATACTCTTCATGCACTATAGCAGTGTGGAGTTGTTGACCTGCTTTGGAAAGTACATCCTCTAACCCTTGCAGCACATGGCATATCAGTCGCCACTGACGGACGTTGTACCAGGTTGAGCCAGAGTGAAGGGCCAAAAGATCACAAAGGAAAACTTTTCTCGCGATGAGATGAAGTCGGAAGAGGAAGCGAAGTTCTTTCAGAGAGTCCCGGGTGTCGAGAGGAGAGTTGTTGGCAAGCGCCACGGCGTCGCTATAATCCTGCATCGAGACCTCGTACACGTCATGATATCTTTTCAGGTCGAGGTCCCTCACAAATGGTTGAATAGCATTATGAGCTTCAACACATCGTATGATGTTGGCCGTCAGGGTAACTCCAAGGGTGGCTCGTAGATCACGACAACGACTCAATGAGTTCTTGTCTTCCAGTCGACTGATTGGCGGTAGTGGTTGGCTTCTAATGTGTGTTAGCGAAGGCGAAGTAACATGATATTGCCACAACCCAGGAACTCACATCTCATACCCACGGGAGACAATCTCGACCTCCTGGATAAAACGAAGCGCCTCAACTGCGCTGCTATCATAGTTATGCGAATCCGTCACCAGATTCCCTAACGTCGACCCTGCACATTGCCGGAGAAATTCGAGATATTGACGCCTTCCGAAATACAAAAGAACCAGACAAACCCCCAATAGGGACAATGAGTACACGCATATTTCTGACCAAGTTGAATGATGTGACTGAGATGTTCGATATCCCCGCTGGAGTAGATGAAGCGACCATGCGACTGAAAAGGAAATTCCGGCTGTTATACAAGCACCTCTGAGCGAGAGAGAATGTGGTGCGAAGGGTTGTTCATTTTGAAGAGGTTGTCGTCTCGGCTTCGGTTCGTCCGCGAGGAGTTGCGAGGCGACGATCACGTAGCGAAACCGCTCGAGGAACTGTTCGTTTGCAACATCGGTCACGTAGGCAGCGGTTTGGCGAATCGTTCGTAACTGCTCGCGCAGCTTTGGCAAGCCGCGAGGGGCATAGGTTCGTTGGGCGCATGAGACAGGGGAGGATGGCTCGGTGGCTTCGAAGGGGATTGCGTCTCCTTCTAGATATTCTGCAATCGGCGAGTCATTATAGATTAGAGCTTCCATGACATTGTCGGCGAATGTGGGCGTTAGAGAGAGGTAAGAACAACGAGGGAGCTTGGTGGAGGTGTCGCTATGAGGACACGAGGCGAGAGACTGCAGAAGCGCGTTATGACGGGGACGATGGTGGCAACCGTGATGGAAAAGTGCCTGACGCAGGCAAACACACAGTAGTACCGAGTAGGGAGGCCTCAGGTCAGGAGCACAAGCCACGGTACCAGATGGCGGAATTGCAGACGACAGGCCCAAGCTTCTGCTGTCAGCGCGATACTTTCCCGGGGCGGCTGGAACGGTTCTCTTAGGGCACCTAACCAGGCGTTCCGGTTTGCCGACAACGAGCAGTTGGGCCCGGCAGGGGACAGGCTCAACGGCGCAAACGCTTAAGCGCCCAAGGTTACCAGGTGCTGGGGTGCAAATCACAGGGCCTGTCCCCGTCGATCTTACCAACGTGGCTTGAAGCGAGATTAGCCCAATCACAACATCAATCTTCGGCAGATCCTTGACACCCTTTCTCGAATATCTCCAGAATTCCAGCTTCTCCCTAGCGCGTAGTCACCCAGAAATCACAGCGAAGACCAATAATGACGGAGCGTGCAATTGAACAACGGTAGGACAGTGCAGCCCGCGATGCGTCAGGTTTCGCACATGTTGAATGGTGAAAGAGTTGGCTTTGTTTGTTGGGAGATGGAAGAGGAGACTTTGTCACTCACAATGAAATGTCATTTTCAAAATGTGACTTTGAATTCACTGTTGAGTTCGTGAAGGTCGTGGACGTTAAAATGTATCGTTTGGCAGACAAAGGTTCTGCTGCACTCATCCTGTTCATGCATGCTTTCACTGGGAACTCCCAGAAACCAGCACCAAGGCTCCCACTGCTGATCTCTCTCTGTTCATATTTTGCTCGAATCGTTAATACTGAGAGTCAGTCGTGTCTTTCAGAATCTCACTACTTTGAGCATGGCGTCACCAGGACCTCCCAGCGAACCTCCTCCGGAACCTGAGGCTGATGCACATGGTTTGCAGCCTGAGCTGTCCTTCCCAGATCTGAGCAGCGTGCCGGGCAATGAACTACGCAAACTTACCGATACTACGATCGTCTCTGTCGAACGGAATGGCGAGATCTACGCGCCCATCTTCCGCCAGATGCAGATCCGCGCGGATAGGTACCAGCAATTCCACAGTGGAGTCATCCGTGTTATTCGGAACAGACATCACAAGCTCATTCAGCGAGGCTCTGATTCCAGTCTGAAGAACATCACTGAACTCCTAATCCGAGCCTTCGCGTACATCATTTGGAAACCCGGATCGGAATGGGTCCTCGCAGATACTGATCTGGAGGAGGGGGAAGCCAAGTTGATCTACATCAAGGGCAAGAATAACACTCTAGACGAGAGGTATGAGACATGGCCCGTGCTGAGGTGGACGATGACTGCGCGATGAGACCCCGTACCCGTCGCTGACAGGAAGTTTGATAGGTTCTTTCCGATAATCGATCCTCTGTGGCGTCAAATGCGCAATCTGATGTTCACTCGCCGCCGACAAGGCCCAACACAACGGGGCAGGTTTTCCAGGCGCGCCGAGACTGATGGTGAAGATTTATACCCGGCCGACGCGGACACTCATTCTTCTTCTTCTTCTTCGCCAATCACTGCTTATGAGCGCGCCCGTGCCCGAGCTACTGCGAAATTAGACAAATTGGCCGCGCACGTCGCCCGAATGGCTCCTCCTCCCGCGCAGAGGATGGATTCTGATCATACAGAGGAGGCCATCATGGACCTTATTGTGCGTCTGGTCGAGATCCGCGCCAACAGTGACCCGCACACGTTTGAGGAACTATGGCAAACTCATGTTATGCGAGTCGAGGAGCTGGATGACGGTCAAGGCACGCATCAGGCGAAGCCGGAGAAAGAGAGCAATACTGCCAGCCTTGCCAAAACAAACAAGCCGAATCCTGGCCTCGCTCATTACCATGATGATGACCATCGTCAGCACCGCGCATCACAATCGAACGAGCCTTTCATGACGCACGGAGCCCCAAGCTTACCTCGATCCCTGGTCTCTCAAGCACTAATTCCGCCATCGCTCCCGTCGGTTATGTCTGTCTACATTAGCGTCTCTCGCCTGCCTACGCGAAGCAACTTCAATACCATCTCGCACACGGCCGCGGCGTCCCTTGCACCAGCGTACCAGTGGCCCTCTGCACCCGTCCAAGAGCACAAACTTGCACCATTCTTCCTCGGAGCATGCTACCGCGTCGACGTTTCCCCATCAGCTGTTCTGGGTTAGGTACTCAGTTACGGATGGAATGACATTTGCCGATTCGTGTCGGCCGGACGCTTTGAGAACCAGGCTGTCCGGCATCCCACTAACCTTGCTACGCGTCCCACCCTAGCAGAGAAGCACAGTGCTGGCGGTGTTGCTCGTGCCGAGATCTCAACCCAGTCCCATCTTGGTGGTGCTTGCGACCACACTGTCTCCGACCGCGAGATGTCGGACGCGACGAGCCACCTCCCAGCGCCGCAGGTATCCCTTCCCAAGCCAACACGCGCCGAGTCCTCTGCTCCGGCAACTCCAGCACCACGGACCAACGTCGACGACTTCACCGAGGAGGAGTGGCGGGTCATTGCTCTCGGCTGGCGCGACTTTCAGAACGACCTACGCCACGCAGCTCGGATGGGCACTCGGATCTGGAGGATGAAAGTAGGCATCATCACCGCAAGCTCCGCCTGAGATTCTTGAGCCCTTTGTGCGTGTGTGCGTCCGTTTGCCCCACAGAAGAGGACCTAAGGTTTTTCTTCTCGAAACTCGGTGAGACAGGCCATCGGATGACTATGATGAAGATGTGTGTGACACTACGTGACACGGGCACTGGAAAAGAAAAAGCAAGATGGACGCGGTAGATGAATGGAACGGAATGGACTCGGTCGGTCGATCGTTAGAGTCGTGCATCGACTCTAGAACCCACGCAGCCCGTCTCCGATCACCCCATACTCAGACGGAAAGAGATAGAGCTAGCTGTCTAGAGACACCTTCCCGGATTTCATGGGAAAAGGCACAAAACAAAAAGGAAAATTCACTTGAGTCTCCCTGACCCCTTCTCCCTGACTCTTTCTCGGGTAGTCAATCGAGAGTACATCTGTACATCTGTATCATTCGTTCGACTTGTTTGATCCTCTTTCCACTCGAAAGGGGTTTGTCCATTACAGAAAACAAAAACGGTCTACATTATCCTGCCCTAGCCTACCCATCCTAGCCCTACCCTATCCAGTAATAGTAATAGTAATAGTAATAGTAATATCAACGCCCGTGTCGCTCCCTTTACACACGATTAAGCTCTGGCTGTCTGAAATAGGCGCTCGCTTCGTCTTGTCATCCAGCATGTCTTCTTGTTCGTTATGTACAGCCGTGGTTCTCGGCATCGAGTTTGTTTCGTTTTGATTTTCTGGGTTCGTTCTCGGCTGGAATAAAAGGAGCCTCGTGGCCTTGGATGCATGCTTCAACTGAATGAGTCAAGTGGAACTGAAACCCCTCCTTGGGAACCGATATGCCCGGAAAACAAATACCCAGACAACGTGAACCCAAGCCAGAAAATGGTCAACATCCCAAAACAAAGTGCGTCAGTGCGTAGCTCCCGAGAGCTCGACGCTGGAGCTGAAACGCCAACAACGAATGCTTGCAAACAAAACACGCATCAGGGCCACCATTCCATCCTCTCATAACTTGAGACCATCTCTCTCACGCCCTCCTCTGTCAGGCCATCAGGCCGCTCGTACTTGAAACCCACGACGCGTTCGAATAAGCTGCCGTCTAGACTCAGATCTGTGTCTTTGAGCAACTCCTTTTCCATAAAAGGACTGAGAGGACCGGGTTTCGTGATGCCCTTTTTCTCGAGCATATCGGCCCACGGCTGAAGAATATCTTCATTGAGATCGTCGACGACGTGCTCGAGATTCATCTTTGCAAAAGATGATATGATGGTCCCGTGGAACCCAGTCTTGATATCGAAAACTTTGGAAATAACTTCAGCCAGTTTTCCCTGGCTTGTTTCGCCATGGTCGACGATGTTAAATATGGGCACGTTGCCGCTTGGTGCGTCCTCTCCTTTTGTTAATGTCGGTCTTCGGGTGACTGTAGGCGAAGAAGATGATGAGATGGTTGAATTCTCCGACCTCCACTCTGCCGCTGCCCACAAGGCTCGCGCAACGTCTTCTACGTAAACTGTGTTGATCCTCAAGTCCTCGGTCCACAGCCATTTCATCTCCTTTTGCTGTTCTTGATAGACACGAGCAAGACATAATCCTTTGGCAATGAATTTGGAGTCATACTGTCCGTAGACATGCGCTAAGCGCAGGATGACCAGATTCAAGCCTGGTATTCTCGACAGCTCTTGTTCGGCTTCTAGCTTCACCTTGGCCAGTTTCAGCCACGGCTTCAACTTGTCTTGCTCGTTGCGTGGAGTACGGTTCGGAGCGTAAACCATGCCTGTACTGACTTCGACAAAGGACTTGACGCGACGTTGGGCTGCTTCCTTCGCCAGTGTCACACTCAGCTGCCATGAGCGCAGTTTATATATTTCTGAAGTCTGCGACCAAGCTGTCTCGCCGGCGCAGTTGAAGACGAAGTCCCAGGTTCGATCGGGTCCGTCCGGATGCTCAAAAACACGGGCCATCGACGTCTCGCGAGACGCATCGGCCTGTATGAACTTGTCCTGGGAGCATGCATCGCTGAATTCTGGCGCAAGATGGGCGAGCTGAGGGAGGACTTTATCGACGAGACGAACGGAGGAGGCTAGGTTCTGCGAATGAATGTATTTTGCCAGAAAGCGACCAATATACCCTGGTAGAAACCTGTTAGCGCATACGCTTTGCGACGCATCTCAAAGGGCCTGCATATACCGAGACCCCCCACTATCAACACAGACGGTTTGGAGGTGCCATTGAGTGTCCCATTCTGGTCGGACATGGCCGCAACAATAATCAATCCAGCGAGTGGCAGGGCACAAAATG